ATACTCTTTTAAGTGATTAAAGAACAAAACAACCACCAACATATTGTGTAATAGCTTGCTATGACCACATTTTGTCCCTTCCACCATCCACTCAAAAATTCACATACTAAAGCCCTAACTTCCAATGAGATGGGTTTTGAAGATAAGGCCTTAAAAGAAATAGTAAGGTTTAGATGAGGTCAGGAGATAGTACCTTCATAATCAGGTTAGTGACCTTATGAGAGTTTGTTCCTGTCCCTGCCACTCAGAAGACAGCCAGCTAAACCAGATGCAGTGGCACATGGCTGGAATCCCAGTTTCTCTAAAGGCTGAGGTAAGAGGATCACAAAATAAAAGCTAAATAAAAATCATAATCATCATCATCATAGTAATAAAGAGAGCCAGCATCTGCAAGCCAAGAAAGTCCTCACCAGAATACTGATCTTGGACTTGCAGGCTCCAGAACTATAAGAAAATTAATTTTTGTGGATTAAGCCACCCCATCATGATGTTTTGTTATAGCAACCACAGCAAACCAAGATACAGCTATTTTTATACAAGCAAATATATGTGTATAATGAAATTAAAGTGATCTTTCAAAATAAAACACTGTTCGTGTTTTGCTGAACAGTGTCAGGGTCTCCTACAAGTTTATTATCCTTTGTTCTTTCTTTAACCAGGATATTAAAAATAGATTATTTTCCCCAAAAGATAACTTTTTGCCAAGTAAAACAAGAACAGGATTTGCAATGACTTGTGCCCTACAGAAACTGGAATGCACAATGGATACCATGTAAACCTTGTACTTTTAAACAATTAACTGGAATAAGTTAAAATTACTGCCAACACACTTAATTCACCATGTACAATTCTGTTAGAATTTAACAAATTTAGTTCAATGGTAAGTGAAAGTAACTATTTTAGAAAACATGACCAAATTGTTTTGATGCTGCATACTTGTAAGGCTCAACAAAATGTATTCTTACACAACCTTTCTCTCATCACATTTTTATCACTACCATAAATGATACTAAAATATTTAACGTGTTTTCTGTTACAATATTTGGTCAACCTACAAGACCGCTTCTGAAAGAATGC